ACCTAAAAGCGTTTTCTCTCTAGATCTAAAATCCAGACATACCATTTTTGATTAGACGAAATTATGTGGCACTGGGTGTTCGCAACTACACGTGGATCATTCGTAAAAACGTTTTCTTTCCAGCGTTGGCGTGTTTAAAAAGAATTGCGAGCACTCGCTGCTTTGAAAAATTTATTTACTGTATATGCAATCCGTTCACGAACCAAAAGTAAAAAAATTGTTAATTTAGTTCTTCAACAAATTATTACATGGACCACAACATCTATGGACAAAGGGTCCTGTGTGAATGAGGTGCTTACTAAATTCGCGTTTCCGAATTTAGGTGCTTACTAAATTCGCGTTTCCGACTAAATATATAGTCATAGAACTGCTCATCCAACTAAAAGATATTTTAACTACCTCTACTCTTACACAATCAAGTTTGCTAGGAAAGCTCAAAAGAGCAAATCTATACGGTAAATTACAAAAATTATAGAAATCTCCCAGAGTTAAGAAATTTGAAAGAATGTCACAACCATGCCACTTCAGCTGATGCATATGATGATTAAATTCCTCGCAGTTTGAATGATACACAACACTAGATGAAATGCCACGTAAAACCAACTTGTTTAATTAGATCATGGATTTTGTCGGTGCAGGAATAGTTGGCAATGTTTAGCTCGTCTTCTTGGGTTTGCCGAGTGACAGGCACGGCAGCGGCGGGGTAGTCCATAACGTTGAACATCATGGTCAGCACCAGAGAGACTATGTCGAATAGGTAAAAATAGTAGGCATAAATATCTGATAAAGACATATGAATATTTTTATTCCGATTATGTTCTCTCTGGGCAAATTGCCAAAAATGCACATTTTTGTATTTTTAAATACAGTAACTTTACTTACAACTTAACATTCCGACTTGCTCAGTCATGGGTGCAGGAGATGGACAGATAGGACATAATAGCAGGTCCAGCCCATTTGACTTCCAGTTTTGGTAAAATGTGTTGACAAACACGCTTCTCTCTATCATCTTCGACCACAAATCTGTGCAGCTAGATAATGTGCCTGAAACAGTCAGATAATTAAAGAAAAAAATCAAGCAAATATCCCACTTCACTCAACAAAGGCACTAATATGCATTTCGAGCGCGAATTAGAATTTGTAAACAGTTCTTACCAAAGCTGTGCTGGACAGCTACACCTCCAAACTGTCGTTGGAATTCGGGACAACGATCTTCAGTTTGGTTGGGCGGCACCGCAGCAAACGATTTGTACCACGAAAGTTCTTCGTCTACAGTTTCGCCATCCAGCAGAAGATCCGTAAACTTTCCTTGGTCGGCAAAGAGTAACTGAACGAAAATATCGAGGCATTCCATCCAATTTTGCTCAGGAAACGCGACCACTTCGTGGCCTAGAGCCTGCAAGAAAAATAAAAAGACTTCAATTAGTTCTGTCAATGCTTACGATATGTTACCTCCACGACCTGCGCCACAGCACGCTGCACTAACCTTGAAGGCCACAACGGCCTGCGCAACAGCGAGCTTCACTAACCTTGAAGGCCGCAACGGCCTGCGCAACAGCGAGCTTCACTAACCTTGAAGGCCGCCACGGCCTGCTCAACAGCGCGCTCTACGAACCTTGAAGGCAGCCACGGCATGCGCCATAGTGCGCATCACAAACCTTGGAGGCCGCCACGTCCTGCACCAAAGCGCTCTTCACTAACCTTGAAGGCCGCCGCAGCTTGCGCCACAACGCGCTTTACTAACCTTGAAGGCCATTACGGCCTGCGCCATAGCGCGCTTCACTATCATATAAGGACGCAACGGCCTGCGCCACAACGCACTTCACTAACCTCGAAGGCCGCCACGGCTTGCGCCACAGCGCGCTTCACCCCCGGGGTGCTGGGGAAGAGGGATATCGAGTCGAACCATCCGACACGGAGGGCCTTCTTGGACAGGTAGACGCTGTCGTTCCAGGGCAGAGGCGGCACCTCCGGATCAAAGGCATGGAAGTCGGCCACGGAGAAAAGCGCCTTGGTCGCCTCGGCCACAAAAGCCCCGTCTTTGCCCATTAAGCCGCTGGTTCCAAATACTGAAAAATAATTATCGAGTTAAAATTGTTCAAAGCGATTCATAAACTAGCTTATTATAATATTTCGTCTGAGACAATAACAACGGGCTGGATTGTAAGAATCTAACGATCGGATAAGATTCATGCAGCATCAGATGCGATAAACTTCCAGTGTCATCTGAAAACTTTAAATTCAGTCAAGTTTATTTGTATCAATGAACTAGGAATTTATGTCAAAATAAATTCCTACATTTGAAGGCCACCAAGAGCCGCCATCAATAGCTATATTGGTTCCATTATTTAGCTATATAATATAGCGATATAGGTCCCATTATGTCGCTATATTATACAGCGATATTGGTCCCATTATTTAACTATTTAACGATAAAAGATGCAATTATCAAGCGATACCAAGCGTACCAAATTATAATCACCTTTCATTGCAAGTTAATTCAAGTGTTGATTCGAGCGAGATATTCTTCAATTGACACTATATACAAAGACAGTTTGAAAATTGAATTCAGTTGGATTTTGGATGCCGAAATTTCAAAATAACAGCGATTAATAATTCCTAGCATCTCTGAGTTAATTAATATACTACTATTGCGATGAGAATTTTTTTTACATTCATTAGTAATTCATTGTAAATCATTCGAAATGACATAATTCAATTAAAAGTAAATTTGCGACAGAGAATCTTAAATACGACAAAAACCCCTGGAAATAAATGTTACGAAGATTAATTGTAGCTGCTTGTACTAATGAATGGATTCAGATGATAATGCGTAAATTAAAAATAAAAATAATAGAAGCCTCGGACTACAATTTGAATGAAGTTGATGAAAGAGACTGCTTGCTTTAATATCAAAATCATGAATCCTAAATAGCGTATTCATTATCTCATTTGATGGCAGAAAATTAAATTGCATTTGATAACATAAGAAAGCTAAATTTTCATTACGGGGAGTGTCTCGGTCTGGAAAAAGTTTTTTATTTACGAACGGATCACTTTGAAACTTGGTACACATGTGTAAAAAAGAAATCGAAGACTTTTTGTTGATGTAAATTAAAAAAAACTAAAGAAAACGTGTAATTAATGGACAACGGCAAAAAAGAAATCTATCTCCTCCTAGGATTTTTAAGCTACAACATCGAGACATACTGTACATCATTCGATGCGTAAAGACCATATCTAGAGATTCATCATGTTTTTTTTTTGAAATTCTCATTTATGTATGAGGGGGGATTTTGCGTCCGTTTTTCTACTTTCCCTCTCTCCCCTCCCCCTTTTTGCTAAATATAACCCAAACTATAACGAAATTGCAAAAAAGACATGACCATTCTCTAGATCTTACGGACTAGGCCAGTCCAGCTGCCAGCAGCTATCTCAATCGATCGTCAGTTATGGAAAGATCGGGTTCCAAAGGCCGGATCCCTTGTGAATCAAGTCACAAAAAATTCAAGAATTGGCAACAGGCCATGGGCCTATTTCTTCAATGCCGACACTTCTACTCTATTCTATTTTTCCTTTACAAATCGAATGGTATATCTTTCAATGCTGTAGCTTGAAAATCATAGGAGGAGATAGATTTTTAAGATGGCGCATTTGGAAGTTTCAATTGTTCAGAGGAGCCAAATAAGAAAAATTTATTGAAAAAAGAAGGATATGCCAAAAAAATTGATTGATATTGTAGCCCGAGTTGCAATTAGTTGCACTTAGGGTACCAGCACGCGTCTTTAGACTTATTCATGTCCAGTTTAACGTGAATAATAAGCTACATACGTGACTTTTGTGATATTTATATATATAAAAAATGTTTATTTTATATAAGTTCAGAACTGCATCACGCAATAACAATTGCATGTACATCCGCGATATTTTCTTTCTTGAACACGCATCGTTTGTAGCTTCCAAATGATTACAAACCCTTTGCAATTAACGAAAATAATGATCTATAAATATTGTTATAAAATAATAATTTCATAAAAGTTCAAAACTGCACTAAACAAAAAATATTGCATCCACATTCATGGTATTAGCTTTGGTGAACGCGTCTTGTTTGTAGCTTTCCAACGAGTCCAAGCATTTTGCAATTAACATGAATAATGATCTATAAATACAGATTTAATATAAAGAAATCTTTGAATATATTGTTAAAAAACGTTCACTTTATACATTTTTGAAATTTCTTCATGCAAAAACTGGAGCACGCACATACATACGGTGTACTCCGTTAGACGCGCCTTTTCAACAGCTACAGAATGAGTCAAGAAAACGGAATAGCCAAAAGTTTCGATTTATGACCGAGACTCCCCTTAATTTTAACATAAAATCCTACTATTTTATTGTATTTTTGATGACGTCTCCTTGTTATAAAAAACCGATATTCATTACGTAGAATGCTCCTATATAATGGAAGTCAATTGCTTATCACTAGTATAGTTACTATATCATATCACTACCCTAACGTTTTCGGATTTGGCTTTTCCGGTTTATATTCTCATCTTAAAGCTGACATTCTGCCCTATCCAACGGTACCATTACCATCTCTGTACGTTGATTTATGCGTTCACGACAGATCATGAAAGGGGGGGGGTGGGGTAGTTCTTTAACAAATAGAATAGGAGGAAATTCGCTGCGAGCACTTTAAATATAGCGACTGCTTGAGGTGTGCATGCAGTCGCTCCCACCATCCTTGACTGGAATCAAGCTCCAGTGACGTTTAGTTTTGTATCCTTGCTACATTGAGTGCCTATTGCGATGCGCGCGGGACTTTGTCACGCTCTCCTGAAACTTCACACTTATTGTCACGGCAAACCTATCTCCTCCTATAGTTTTGAAGCTACAGCGATGAGACATATACTATTCGATTCATAAAAACCATACCTATCGAGTAACGAAGCCCTTTTTTAGATTTGTGCATAGTTTGGATTCAAAATGGGGGAGGGGGGAAAATCTGATGAAAATGAGAAGAAAATGAGAAGAAAATGAGAAGAAAACTGGAAAATTCGTGTAAAAAACTAACGCAAAAATAAAAATTGGGCTTCGTTACTCGATTGGTATGGTCTTTACGAATCGAATGGTATATCTTTCAATGTTGTAACTTTAAAACTGTAGGAGATAGATTTTTTAAGTACCCCCTTTTTTGTCCGTTTTCTATGAATTTCACGTTTTCTATTAATTTTTCCGAAAAAATCATACGAACATAATCTGCTTGTACTTCGATTCTACATATACGTGTAAATTTTCAGAAAGATCCGTTAGTAATTGTGGAAGTTTTTCTGGAGAGTAGATGCCCTCCATAACGGAAGTTCATGACCTCATAACATAGCATAGAAATCTCGGTGCTAAAGTATAGGCCGGGTTGGGCGGTCGCCGATTCTTACTATGAAATTGCATTATCCCTAAAATGACAACTTACTGCCAATAGGCCTGACGGCACTGACGAGTCCCCTCCTAGACATCCTCTTAGCGGTGGGTTTGATGCCAACCACTCCACACCAGCTGGCGGGCAGGCGGATGCTCCCACCGATGTCAGATCCGATCCCCAACACCGAACCTCCACCGCTGATGAGAACCCCTTCCCCGCCTTGGAAAATTTGGTGAAATATCATAATTTACGTCCTATTTGTAACAACGACCTCCGTCTCTGATGAAAACCCCTTCACCGCCTTGGAAAATTTGGTGAAATATCATCATTTACGTCCTATTTGTAACAACGACCTCCGTCTCTGATGAAAACCCCTTCACCGCCTTGGAAAATTTGGTGAAATATCATAATTTACGTCCTATCTGTAACAACGACTCCCTTCTCTGACGAAAACCCCCTTCCCCGCCTTAGAAAATACGAGGAAGCCCATTTTTACTCGATGCATGACGGAATATGAGGCTTTCTCTCCTTCATTGCCTGATTACATACGTTAGAATAATAACTGAATATTATATACGTCAAATTAACAACTGAAACCAAATCATTTTACGTAACCGACATTACCTTTGGGAAATCTGCTCATCACCCCAGAGTGAACAATTCAGTGGCATCATAATATTTCTACCTCCAAGAAAATAAATATCTTCGCTCTTCAATCGCTATATAAACTTCCATGATAAAATCTTATTAATTAAATCCTCGTAATTAACATGGTCGAATCATCCATGAGCGATCTAGTCGACCACCCCACCAGAGGAGCCACCAGGGGTCCTCGCTGCGTTGAGCGGATGTAGTGCAGCGCCCCACAGAGGGTTCGAGCAGCCAGGGCTGGGAAGTAGATAATTTCTATCGTGAATTTCAATAATGATCGTTTCTTCACACGGTATGTTGCACAAGTTTCACTCGAGAGAGAGGGAGAACTGAAAACATTAAAGACCAGCTACTGACATTTCCGGAAAAAGTGGCGTTCCTTAAAATACTGGAAGTGGATCAACTGGAATTTTTCTGGATCTCTGTTTCAAAGTTTAATGTGTGTTTTTTCCTGACTCTGAATTATGAACCTAATTTCAACCACAATTAGCAGGAATTAATCCAATTATGAATGTGACCATCTTCACAAAAAATTATTTTGAATGTTTACTTAATTTTGACACCCTCCCAGAAAACACAAAAAAATTTGATTCTATTCGCTTTATGTTGTTATAATTATGATATTTTTGTATAACTTTAGTGCGTCATCCTTCCGGAGAAGTGAATAAATATTCCCGATGATTAATAAGGGACAGGATTCACAAATAGCCAATTTAAAGCTAAGATTTAGTGAAAATCTTAGATCACTCATTTGCCATTTCGAATTGTTGTGAATCTTATGGAATCTGTGAACGAAACCCTGGGTTACCTGATGCAAAGCTGCGACGTGTTGGTCTTCACGAAGGGCACGGCCCCGTGCTCCTTGAGGACCGTGACGACATCAGCGTCCACAGGGGCGGGCTGACCCACCTTCTTGAGCAGCCCCAGCGTGCAGTCCAAGCCCTTGACCATGATGCAGTCTTTGACGCTGACGGGCAGCCCGTGCAGGGCACGTCTCTCGTCTGGGGCCAGTTTGTCCAGAGCCTCGGCCCATGCCTGTGACATGTTGGGGATAATTAAACACTATCAGCTCATGTCTGCATCAAGTGTAGGTTAATTAAACCCTATCAGCCCGTGCATGTAAACTGCGGATGGACAGCTAAACACAATCCCCACTCACGGAAGTCCCGACTATTTTTCTCAGCTACTAGGACGGCTCCAACAAATCGGTGTGCATGCATGACGGGATGCTTATTTCGTGGTATATTTTTTTTTGTTTCTAGGAAGTATCGGTTCAACTGTACGATCTATTAATCTTGGGCTTAGATTAGTGATTAGTCAATTGTTGGTAACATTGTTGGACATAGGCCATGGGCCTATGTCTTCAACGCCGACACTTCTATTCTATTCTATTTATTTTATGACTGTAATATGTAATCTCATTTAACTGTGATAATATTTTGTTAACTCAAGGGTTTAATTTATGTATGACTAAGCAATGCGTAAACAAATATTTATTTCATGACTGTAATATGGAATCTCGTATAGCTGTGATATTTTCGGGATTTAGTTGTTCGGGATTTAGCGTCTTGGGACGAGACTGAATGTGTAGCTCCAACGTGATTGGTTGAGCTGCCCTTGGCCTCGCGACGGTGCGCGCTAGGTAGTCATGAACGATGAAGAGTTTGGTCACTTGGAATTAGTTTAGGATTATTCGACTTTCAACTGCGATTAGTTTGCCAAATGATTAAAATTATGATGACTTTATTGTATTGTATTATTTTATCTATTTTTTGGGCACTTAAAAAGTGTTTACGGTCTGTTTTGTACATTGTAAACGGGATGTTGAGGTAAGCTCATTTTGGCTGAGTTACCCCTCGCGGAGAAGTTATGTGTGCTCAGTGTTACTGGGTTGGGGTGACACGGTTTCGACTCGAAATAGGCAGAGCCAAATTTGGGCTTCCAAGAATAAACTCCATCGCAGTTCTGGGCATAACTCTTAATGAGTTCCTCTAACGGACTAATAACGACGTATATGGAGTTTTTGGATAGTTCCAGATTTTGGCTGCGTTGGGCGGTTAACAGCCGTTCCATTCGCACCCTCGTGTCGTAGAGGCTAATTACCTCTGCGCTCGAATAAATTGTCAGCGGCTTATTGGAGGCTCGTAACCTTCAATAGCCGTGCTTTTGATGCGTAGCTGCCACCCCGATTCTGTGTTCTTAGCAGTGCATTAGGGCTCGAACCCCTGATCATTGAAATTTGAAACGAAACGAGCAGAAGCTAAAGAAGCTCATACCCAAGCCGGTAAATGTCGGTTTTCGATATACGGAAGTCTGAAAACGACCGCCGGACATTTAACCTTATTAGCTAACAGACATCTTATTAACTTCAATGTTCTCTATTCTTCAAATGTAAACTTATAAATAAAAAATAGTATGAGTGTCATATTGCTATGTCATGTCTTTATTCTAACGACCATCGCCCACGCAGGTGTTGACCGGCGGCATCATTCTTCAATCCATCAATAAACATATTTAATCTTCATATTTTTTATCCCAACCTATATAAAACATATTTACACTAATTAATTACAAGAAAGACGGCCATTTGAAACTTCTAAATCCAATCTCAAAGCGTTTAGCCACCTCATTCTTCAGAACTCTCAGCTGCAAATACTGAACTTCCGCACAAATTAAGGAACCGAGGCTCGAATGATACATTGCATGCAACAGCAAAATATAAATGGCATCCAGATGCCAATCACTATGTCGATACTGACTCCAAAAACAGTTGCCTGGTGCTCCTGGATAGTCAGTAAAATTTACACTCCAATGGGTTCTTCGAGATGTCCACAATTGTTAAACTCATCCACAACATCGAATATTATATCCTCTATGAGTCGCCATTATGAACGGTGATTTGGACAACCACAAACATTTCTTGGAAACTCCCAGGTTAGGTACGAACTTGACTTGTTTTTCAGCGTATCGCTAGTAGCCCAACGGTTCACTTTTCTTACAGGGTTAAATAATTTCTTTCTCCAATTTTTGAAGTCCAGTCCGTGCTTGCCAGAACTCTACAGGTTCTTCCTAATAATTTAAACTCCAACTTAACTTGTCGTTCAGAGAATGGTTCCTTTGCCATGATTTCTCGCGCCCCAATCAAAACTCTTTTTAGATTCGTTAATTGAAAAAGATGTCATGACCGTAATTTCTAAGTTCATGATACCCATATCTCGTCGATATCTATGGGGAGAAAACTCTATCAGATGAAAACGATGCCAAATATGAATGTATGTATGATGGTAGTAGAGGTGGAGACCTTCTATTTTGTGGGAGGGCAGGGACTCTAGGTTTGAATGGACGTATATACAGGTGGAATGAGGGGAGGGAAGATAAATGTTTATTTAAGTGTGTGTGTGAAGAGATATTTGGAAAACGTCTGGAGGATGAGGGGGAGGAGGAGGATGGCAATAGTGAGGTCTTGAGAGAGAGGAGGATGGGAAAGTAAAGGTGACCGTGCCGAATGTTTTAGTACATTTTCTGTTTTTTTTTCACGATGTTATCATGTATAACTGAATGTTTTAATCTTTTAGGATTGCAATGAAGACTTGTTAGTTTAACTCTGACCCACCTAGAGATCTGAATGACCGATCTAAAGATCTGAATGAGCGATCTAAAGATCTGAATGACCGATCTAGAGCGTGAATGAGCGATCTAAAGATCTTGACCGGAGATCAGCACGCACTCAAATTCCAATTCCACTCACATGTAGCCCCGTTTTAGCATTAAAAAAAGCACATAGGTAATCCTGGCTTGCCTTACTATAATAATTATGTGACGTCACTCTAGGACGCTCGTCAGATCAACCCAAACCTTCCACATATTCCCAGAAGGATAATAACATAATCCGCCTCAAACGACATCCCGTTTACTTCGCGACAGCAAGCCCCGCTTGGCGCGCTATGCACATCCAAAGCCCCAGTCTGCTCGGCAGTGACGTATCGTGAGCCCCTGTAATGCTCTTCCCCGCGCCAGCCTGGATTTATCCCTTGGTGATAAGTAACTTTGAGTTATAAGCGTCCCCATTCATTCACATCAACTATGTGCCAACCTTAGAATAACGAGCATGTGAGCAGCCGTGTCCTGAAATGTAAATTAGAGGATCTACACTGCCATAGCTAACCCAATCTTGACAATCTTAACCCAATTGTTGACGATCTTGAGCTCTTCGAATCGCGTCTAAAACTCGTTGCTACTTAGTGATTATTATGAAATAGTATTCTTAATTTTTATAGTCATTTCACGAACATCGAGCTATATTTCGTGACGTTCCGTTTACAAGTAAAGCCTTCGAAACCCCTAAACGTCTCTGCACCCGTTACGATTCGTATATGGCGGAGGCCCTCCAACAGCCCCAGTTGGAATCCACCTACGACGCTCCCTCCGTCTAGCTTCTCTTGAATACGTATAGCCATATTTAGGAATTTAGGATTCTTGACTCAGTTGTGTCAATCACAGATAGTTAATTCCTCATTGATCATTCATAGCAGTTCACAATTATCATTGTTATCTTGATAGCCTACCCCGTAGATTTCTCTACTTGATAGTCTGCCCCCTAGATTTCTCTACTAGGAGTTAGTTCATAAACCAATATGGCGACCTTGGCGTCGATGAACTCGCGCGACAATCGATTTTATTTGAAACGCCCGTTCAGGAAAATCCTAACCCTTTACTTAAGGTATCTAGTATAGACATAACTAGCATTACTTTGGTTACCTATATCTAGACGCTCACCTTAATCGATACCGTAATCGATACCTAGGCGAGACAGGACACGTGGTAAAGATCGACCGATTTAGCAGATCACTTCACCTCCCCTGCCAAAATCACTAGTAAGCATTCGAGAGTGAAGGAATATTGCTGATATCAACGATGCTTTCCCCTCAGATGCAGATCTGAGACGATATCTCGAACCGTTTCCCTATTTTAATTGATAACACTAGTATTGTATCACAGCACGCTCCCAGCATAACTCTAACGTAAGCTAGATTCTAGTAAAGTAGCTAGTAGCTTGTAACTCTTGACCTTTAGATCAAATACGCTGAAAATCAAGCCAAGTTCGCACCTAACCTGGGAGTTTCTAAAAAATTCTTCTGTGGTTGTCCAAATCACCATGCATAATAGTGATTCATTGAGGATTTAATATTCGATGTTGTGGTGGAGTTGAATAATTACGAATATTCCGATGAACTCATTGAAGTGCAAATTTACTATATATCCAGGAGTACCGGGCAATTGTTTTTGGAGTCGGTATCGACATAGTTATCGGTATCTTTATGCCAAGTTACAGTTTGCTGTTGCATCACTTGCATGCAGTGTGTCATTCGAGCTTTGGTTCCTTAAGTTGGGCGTCAATTTAGTATTTGTGGTTGAGAGTTCTGAAGAATAAGGTGGCTAAACTGAATTGAAACTGAATAAAATTGAATGTAGAAGTTACAAACGGCCGTCCTTCTCCTAATTAATCAGTGTAAATACATATAATGTATGTTAGGGTAAAAAATTTAAAGATTAAATAGGTTTATTGATGGATTGAAGAATGCTGCCGCCGACCAACACCTGCGTGGGTGATGACATGGCAATATGATTCTCATACTATTATTTAAAAGTTTATAATTGAACAACAGAGAACATTGAAGTAAATAAGATGAATGTTAGCTAATAAAGTTACATGAAGATACAAAAAATAGTGTTCAAAGAGCTAGGGAATTTATGACGTTTAAAATTGATGATTGTGCTAATTACAAATTCCAGTCACTATATTATATATATTAGTCGCTATATTGCATAGCAGCTCCTGCAGTGTAGCAGTTCAGTTTTTGTAGTTTGGTCAGTTGGAAATCTTGGCTAGGGACCGGCACAGGAGCTAATGCTGTGCAGCACTTCAGTATTTATATTTGAGGGAGTTGGACAGCTCGGCTAGGGCCCGGCACAGCAGCTCCATCAAAGCTGCAGTTCAGTATTTATATTTGAGGGAGTTGGACAGCTCGGCTAGGACGTTACAGAGCAGCTCCTGCAAACCTGCAGCTCAGTATTTATATTTGAGTGAGTTGGACAGCTCGGCTAGAGCCCGGCACAGCAGTTCTTCGCCGTATGGCAGCGCCACAAGTTGAACGCCGAGAGGCAGGCCCACGGCGTCACGTCCGTTCTGTAGCGGGAAAATAGTAAATTTGAATAAAATATTACCAGCTTTAAATAGCCCTTCACAATAAGATCTGAGGGTATATCCCTCAGTTCTGAGAATTTCTCTCTTCGTCGCTCTTCAAATATTCCTTTCTCTCTTGCAAGCATTTGCCGCTTGCTCGACACACTCTATCGCACTCAACGACACATCTACCAATTTGAACGCTGTTACTGACAGCGCCTACGCAGTTGACAAATCGACATAGAAAAACACGAAACTTTTCAGTAAAATCTACCTAAAAGCGTTTTCTCTCTAGATCTAAAATCCAGACATACCATTTTTGATTAGACGAAATTATGTGGCACTGGGTGTTCGCAACTACACGTGGATCATTCGTAAAAACGTTTTCTTTCCAGCGTTGGCGTGTTTAAAAAGAATTGCGAGCACTCGCTGCTTTGAAAAATTTATTTACTGTATATGCAATCCGTTCACGAACCAAAAGTAAAAAAATTGTTAATTTAGTTCTTCAACAAATTATTACATGGACCACAACATCTATGGACAAAGGGTCCTGTGTGAATGAGGTGCTTACTAAATTCGCGTTTCCGAATTTAGGTGCTTACTAAATTCGCGTTTCCGACTAAATATATAGTCATAGAACTGCTCATCCAACTAAAAGATATTTTAACTACCTCTACTCTTACACAATCAAGTTTGCTAGGAAAGCTCAAAAGAGCAAATCTATACGGTAAATTACAAAAATTATAGAAATCTCCCAGAGTTAAGAAATTTGAAAGAATGTCACAACCATGCCACTTCAGCTGATGCATATGATGATTAAATTCCTCGCAGTTTGAATGATACACAACACTAGATGAAATGCCACGTAAAACCAACTTGTTTAATTAGATCATGGATTTTGTCGGTGCAGGAATAGTTGGCAATGTTTAGCTCGTCTTCTTGGGTTTGCCGAGTGACAGGCACGGCAGCGGCGGGGTAGTCCATAACGTTGAACATCAGGGTNCTTGGTCGCCTCGGCCACAAAAGCCCCGTCTTTGCCCATTAAGCCGCTGGTTCCAAATACTGAACAATAATTGTCGAGTTAAAATTGTTTAAAGCGATATAAACTACATTATTTATAGGTTTTTTCGTCCGAGACTAAAACAACGGGCTGGATTAAGAATCTAGAGATACGGATAAGATATATGAAGCATCAGATGAAATCAACTTGTAATGTCATCCAAAAACTAAAAACGTCAAATTCAATTAAGTTTACTCGTATGAACGGGGAAATTATAGTCAAAATAAATTGAAATTAAATAAATAAATTGAAGGTCACCAAGAGCCATTAAATAAATAAATTGAAGGTCACCAAGAGCCATCACTAGCGATATAGGTCCCATTATATAGCTATATTATATAGAGGTATAGGTCCCATTATGTAGCTATATAACGATAATATATTCAATTATCAAGAGATACCAAGCGTACCTAAATATTATCACCTTCCATTGCGAGTTCAATTCGAGTGTAGCTTTGAACGAGATATTCTTCAACAGAATATTTATTGAAGAATATATACAAATATATTATATACAGTTTGAAAATTGAATTCAGTTGGATTTGGGATGCAGAAATTTCAAAATAACAGTGATTATTCATTCCGAACATCTATGAGTTAATTAATATAGTACAATTGCAATAAGATAATTTTTACATCAAAAAGTTATTTCTTGCTATTTGTATTAATGAATATATTTGGATGATAATGCGCAAATTTAAAAGAAAAATAATAATTTTGAAAGAAGCTGATGAAAGAGACTGCTTATTTTAAAATCAAGACAATGACATCTAAATTTCGTATTAATGTTTACTTCAAATGCATCTGCTACATTCAATTTATTGACGTCTCTTGGTTATAGAAACCAATATTCATTAGGTAGAATGCTCTTATAAAACGAAGGTCGATTGCATATCACTGTAATAGTTAACGGAAGTTCATGACCTCATAACATAGCATAGAAGCATCGGCGTTGAATCATAGGCCGGGTTGGGCTGTCGCCGATTCTTACTAAGCAATTGCATGTAATTGCATTATTCCTAAAATGATAACTTACTGCCAATAGGCCTGACAGCACTGTAGAGTCCCCTCCTAGAAATCCTCTTAGCGGTGGGTTTGATGCCCACCACTCCACACCAGCTGGCGGGCAGGCGGATGCTCCCACCGATGTCTGATCCGATCCCCAACACCGAACCTCCGCCGCTGATGAGAACTCCTTCACCGCCTTGAAAAATTTGATGAAATATCATAATTTACGTCCTATCTGTAACAACGATCTCCGTCTCTGATGAGAACCCCTTCACCGCCTTAGCAAATTTGGTGAAGCCTTAAAACTTCCTATAACATACCCAACCCCGACCTCATCCTCTGAGGAGAACCCCTTTCCCGCCTTATAAAATACGAAGAAGCCTGAACATTTTTACTCGACGCATGACGAAATATGAGGCGTTTTCTCCTCCAATGCCTGATTATATACGTTGGAATGTCAACAGTCATCACGTGAGGATGTATCGTATTTCGTTGGTCACCGTTCTTCAAATTAACAACTGAAACCAAGTCATTTTACCTAACCGACACTAATTGAGCGAAATTAGCTCATCACCCCAAAGTGAACAATTCAGTGGCATCATAATATTTCTATCCTCATGAAAATAAATAGCTTAGCTCCTAAATCGCTATATAATTTATCAAATAGCGATGTATTAATCGCTATTATTATTGTCTTATTAAGTAAATCCTCGTAATTATCAAAGCCGTATCATCCATGATCGGTCTAGTCGACCACCCCACCAGAGGAGCCGCCAGGGGTCCTCGCTGCGTTGAGCGGATGTCGTGCAGCGCCCCACAGAGGGTTCGAGCAGCCAGGGCTGGGAAGAAGATCATTCTAATCGTGAATTTCAAAAATTATTATATCTTCACATGCTACGTTGCACTTGTTTCACTTTAAGGAGTGCGAGAATTGAAAACATGAAAGACTCGTTACTGACATTTCCGGAATGAGTGGTTTTCCTTACAATACTGGAAGTGGATTTTTCTGGATCTCTGTTTTGAAATATTTATTTATGTTTATCCTGACTCTTAATGATGAACTTGATTTCAACCACAATTAGCGGGAGTCAATCCATTTGAATGTGACCATTGTAGTGATTACCAGAGATATTATAGGATTTAAAATTTATTTTTATACAACGGAGTTAGAGCGGAACAAATAAGAATAAATGTAATCGACATGTGAACCAGTTAATCATGGCCAGTCTTGATATCTATAAGATCTGATAATTTTGCAATAGTTTTAAGCTTTAGTAATAGCAAATATTTCATTATTTGTGATTTACGGGTAGTTCTAGAACAAAACGAGAATTCATCCCAAGCCGCCTCGGCAACACTGCCCCGCTCTTTCTTCACCCGATTTCCTGCCAACGCGCTGTTTGTTCTTTGCGCTCGTGTTTTGTTATAAGTAATTGTCCACTGGGTGAGTAATAAGTGATGGATGTGTGACCTTGTTATAGGTAATCACTCTGTGGAGTTGATTTGGGTATTTTCATGGCATTTTCATGTAGCTATTGTTAGATAGGAAATGTGTTCCGTCAACTCTAACAAAGGGGATAGTCTGTTCTGACAAATGATATTATCATTCCCTATTATCATATCAGACAATTGATATTATCATTTCCTCATATCATATCAGTCATATCATATTAGTTCATGATGCTCTTCAGTTATATTGTCATTCCTCGAAGGTCGTAATTAGTATGATTATAACCTCAACCGTTGATCGTAATCCGTCACTTTATATAATATGAGTATGTAAAATGAGTATTTTCCATTATGTTATTAAATCTTGAGGCCGACATGAATATGAAATACAATGCTGTTTCCATTATTATTATTAGGCTACAGCAGTTGAGTGGACTGAGATTTTCATATAACTTTTGTAAGACCTAATGTTCAATCCGATTACTGTATCTGTGACTAGAGTATAAAGATCAGTATGATAATGAACATTGATTATGAGAGGGAATGTAATTAGTAAATTATAACCAAGATGAATTAAATAGCAGATGCATAAAACATTGTGCGACAGTACTAGCTTCAGTGAGTACCACCATTATCAGATTATCATTGTTACTATTTTGATGGCGAGCTTTAATAAAACTTTATTTGTTGATGATTTTGAGGAATCTTGAAATGAGTTTTGATAAAACTTTAATTGTTGATGAATTAGAGGAGTTTTGAATTGAGTTGTGATTGAACTTAATTATGTGAATTTGAATTTGAGCTTGAGTATGAATTATGCATGTAATATGAATTTTGAATAATGCATTGTATAGGAATTATGCATACGAATTGAACATTGGGAACTCTGTAGGTTTTATTTTATTCTGAGAGGTTTAGAAATAACAAATGTCATGTTCATGTACTAATGCTCGTCCGTGTTCTCAGGTCTTATTAGGTACTGTACATGAAAAATGACTTGAATTAATAAAGGACTTTTACTTGAATTAATCAATCACCAATCTGAGCTCATCAATCTCCTGATTAACCTACATCTCGGGGATCCGTCAATCCGAAATCTACCAAATTGCCTCATTTAACTCCAGTACTGAAACCCCTCAGTAGTACAAAGCCCCACACAATCTTCACAAAAAAAATTCTTTTGAATGTTTAATCAATTTTGACACCCTCCCAGACAAGAAAATTTGTTTCTACTCGATTCATGTTGTAATTGTGATGTTTTTTTTATAACTTTCAATGCGTCATTCTCCGTGAGCAGGGATATAATATTCCCGATTATTTAATAAGAAGCAGATTCACTAATAGACCTTATAAGATGAGGTTAAGTGAAAAATTAAGATTACTTTTTTGCCGTTTCGGATTGTTGTGAAATTTATGGAATCTGTGAACGAAACCCTGGGTTACCTGATACAAAGCTGCGACGCGTTGGTCTTCACGAAGGGCACGGCCCCGAGCTCCTTGAGGACCGTGACGACATCTGCGTCCACAGGGGCGGGCTGACCCACCTTCTTGAGCAGCCCCAGCGTGCAGTCCAAGCCCTTGACCATGACGTTCTCTTTGACGCTGAGGGGCAGCCCGTGCAGGGCACGTCTCTCGTCTGGGGCCAGCTTGTCCAATAATATAACCCAACAGCTCTATTGGGCGCATGCCGAAGGTCACTTTCCACAATTCCACACATTAGTTGACAGTATGTGTTAAGCACGCTGGAGGGCTATGCATCATAAGAAGTCATGTGCTTAAAGTCATAGAGCAGCATGCTCAAAGCCACCCACCGCTTAAGCATGCTAAATTTGGCAGCGATTCCAATTGGGGCAGGACTCAGCGCAGATAAAAACAACACAGCTGGTTTGCATCAGAACAGGACATGCCGGCCTCATACCAGTGATGTTGGCCGCTCACCCTAAACCGACAGCGCCGGAAATGACCCATTTTTAACAGGAGTTGTTGCCCCATACAAACTTTCCTACTGGTTTTTTCTGCCTTGCTTACCAAATGCCGAGTATGAAATCTGATTGTGTAAAAAAGTACAAAATCGGAAAGAAGTGATTTTATCCGAGAATAAAATCCAAGTGTAAATGGTGAGAACTTCTAAACATTGATGTCATGATTCCACCTTTGACTGGTAGGACTGCAGGACTGTCACGGCAGACAACTCTCCCTTTCTGAGCTGCAGCAGGAGATCCGTGGGCTGCAGGAGCAACACGTCCCTGCGCTGCTTCGTCAGCAGGACGTCTTCCCTTCCACAGGATATGAGCTCCTTCTCTAGAGCAAGCCTGTCTGCCTGGACCTTCTTGCGGTGCTCGCGATATCTGTTTAGGAATTTAAATTCGTTTAGTCAGTTTTACTACTGCAGCTATTCAGCATTAAGCTAACCCCTTTCATCGACTCTACCTATATTGACGAGCGGGATTTATATGAGAAGTCCGGAAGTATACAGTTTAGGATAAGACTGCTATGTCGTCCTTATAGTATTAGAAGTTTTTCGCCCCCTTAGCAGGGAAATAAATCAAAATAATGTCAGCAACCGTTGAATCCGATCAGCAAGTGTTGAATTCATATGACCATCATTCGTCATTGGCGCCACAGGACTGAATTATGCTGTAGAGATCGCAACAGGAACGTGCGTCGCAAGAACTATTTTGTCGATATAGAGTAGACGAAAGATTTCATCCCGACCAATAAGCTGTTATCTCAAAGAGTTTATGAGGAAGCGGTCACCCTCGTTTATACCGTTAATATAAACTTTCTTCATATTATTTTTGATAATTTCTCTCACAAGCGACGGAAATTTCTGCCCATTAATTATATGATTACCTATTCTATGTATACATGATTTAGTTACAATTTATGTCAGTTCTGGATCTTTTAAGAAATTTTTTACACAAAGATTTAGGCTGCTTTAAAAAGCAAACAATTCAAACGAAGTTTGATGGACATAAATTTATTTCGTGAAGGTAGAATTTTTGTGGTGAGAAATTTCAGGGAAGTGTGCTGAAATAATAACGCCGGTCATACTTCCTGACATGTCTTGCATTCAATTCTTAGACGAAAAGAACTAGGAAATTGCTGATTTTTTATTTATTTGTAACCCAGGCTATAAATAAATAAAAAGTTCAGCAATTTCCTAGTTCTTTTCGTCCAGGAATTGAATGCAAGACGTGTCAGAAAGTATGACCGGCGTTATTATTTCAAAACACTTCCCTAAAATTTCTCACCACAAAAATTGTACCTTCACGAAATAAATTTATGTCCATCAAACTTCGTTTGAATTGTTTGGTTTTTAAACCAGCCCACATCTTTGTGTAAAAAAATTACACCGGTGTTACGAAATCTGAATTGCACTCACCTGTCCTCTAAGGAACTTGACATGATGATGGGATTAAAGAAATGTATTTTGATTGCAACCTCAAGCCCTGTAAAATAAATACATAAGTATCGACTTCTATATGAATACCGTTCGCAATGTAGGGACCACCAGTGGAAAAAATAACAAAAAAAAAATGCTGAGGCTAAACGCAAGAAATCTAGATTAATGAGAAATTAATCAATGATTAAAAATTGTCAATTAAATGTGACTTGGAAAATAAAATTGAGGCAACGATAACTAAGAACTTAAATAATGATGAAATATTCTTCCGCTTTTGCAGTCTTCCAGTGAATTCGAAGTTAAAGCAGACAAGTGAACTAACATAACGAGTTTGTTATAATTAATCAATGACGGGAATTTTCCAAACATTATGGTACGAGAATACAAATTGTTCTTGACAACGACGCCAGTACATCGGTCACCGATGAATTACTAAAGAAATTCGAAAGCACATTTAGGGCAAAATTTAAATGAAAAAATCGATATTGAATCATTAATTCTTCAGCACATCTATGGATAAGATTATGAGTGCAGCATCAGATTAGGATCAATTTATGCAGCGTGACAGGTAACATGGTCTGTGAAGAACGCAGGCATGATTCATTTCATTAGGGACTTGAAAGCGATGTCGCATTACAATATAACAAAATTTGGTTTGGAATTCCTTCAAATAAATTGCTGCAGTGATTTAAACATTAACAATGATAGCTAATTTCATGTCAGCAATTGACGGGTTTGGAATTCATGCTGTAAGATCACAAGCTTCCCAACAAAGACCGATAGTGAAGTAATCACATAACCGTGTAGATATGGTTCATAACTTGGCTGTTAAACTGAAAAATAACAGAATCATCTATGTAATTCGAATCAATGGTAAACTGATACGTAATTTCTTCAGGTCAGGATAGGAAGGACGTGTCATGTGCTGCAGCCGTTGCGATCTGCAGAGGACAACTGCAGCTGTGGACTGAGCCTCGGTGAGAACTGGGGCATTAGGCACACAATTTATCTTGCGAGACTCTTCGGTACCCGAGATGTAACTAACTGATCTTGGATATTCTTGCACTAAGCTATAATCTTCGGTACCTGAGACGTTACTAACTGATCTTGGAAGTTTTTCCACGAAGCTGTACTCTTTGGTACCTGAGACGTTACTAACTGATCTTAAAAGTTCTTCCGCGAATCTATACTCTTTGGTACCTGAGATGTAACTAACTGATCTTGAAAGTTATTCCACGAAGCTATAATCTTTGGTACCTGAAACGTAAATAATTGATCTTAAAAGTTCTTCCACGAAGCTATACTCTTTGATACCTGAAATGTAACTAACTGATCTTGGAAGTCCTTCCACTGTTGGGGACTAGTCAATAAATAAATAAGCCTTCTCTGACCCCGAACCCTTGGCCAATGATCGCAAATAAAAAGGATGAATAAAAACTGATAAGTTAAGAACTATAATAATGAATGAACGATAAAGAAAACAAATATCAAAACTATAAACCGTGTGTCTTTCTGGCCCTTGCCTATTAATTCCTGATCATGTCCTAGGATCGGAGCCCCGCTGAAAAAACACAAATAAATACAAATTAAGGACTTGAATTAACGCAACCTAAAGGAATATAACACATAAATAAAACTAATATAAATAATAATATTAAATATCAACAAAAAGGCCACCACTATATCAACACGAAGATCAACACACGATAAACAATGCAAGCACTAACCTCTGTGGTCGATCTCTTAGCAATGACAAGTTACATGACGGATCTACACGAGGTGACGTAATAGTTGACTCCAAAAGCAAAATGACAAAACCCGTAGCCTAACTATCTATGAAATTATTACATTGAAAGGCTATCCCTAACACCACGAACCTATAACTCTTTTGTCCCATATGCCTGTTTATGCGCCTCTAAACTGGAGAAGGATTCGTTGACTATGCTCGTCAGGGATAAGTAAAACACCATCTGTCTAGAGAACTTATCTTGATACGGGGTGGTAATACACGAGTGTTACGATACAGGTAACAGGCTAAGACTTCGACCGTTAGGTCGGAGAAGTTCTAACGCGAGTTACATTGCGCCGTGCGTGCTTGTCAGCTTCTGCGGGGGCTTTACTAAGGTTCCCAGCCTTTTTATGGAATCACGGCCATTGCGCGATCTATCACGTGATGTTGCCCAGACTCTGGCTCAGGTCTAGTACTTTTCTATCAATCTCTATCAGGTCAAGTGAATATTACATCTCAATTACTTATGATCATGTCTTATAATATAATAATTGTGAATATAATGAGACGCCAGATAGACACCGGACACTTTGGTACCTGAGATGTAACTAACTGTCCTTGAAAGTTCTTCCACGAAGCTATTCGTTTTGGTACCTAAGAATTAATTAACTGATCTTATAAGTTCTGATACCTTGGTATAAACTTTGGAACTAAGTTGGTAATCTACCGATCTTGACGCTCCTTCTTATTTTTATACTCTTTGGGACGTGAGGCTGAATTAACCGATCTTGACGCTCTTTCATAACGTAATTAATCTCAAAAACAGATTACCTGTTATTGCATGGTCCGTGTAGGACGTTGTTTTTAGCGTCGTGTTGCATTATTGAATAATCGAAATATATTGGATGAATTTATTTACACTGCAGCTGACCATTACAATATGAATTAATCGTCACGTACAATGATATATATGAATTTTAAATAAAATCTTCAATTAGATTGATCAATAATTTCAAAGATGAGTATAAAGACTCATTCATCAGCATCGAAAGAATTTATTCTCGTCACCAACATGAATTAGAATTTTGATAAATTATCCTTTAGCACTAGGTGAATGGGTGTGGTAAATCTGTAAAAATCTATCATCAATTTTTGACTTTACCGTTGAAATTAACAGTTCCCTAATTAATTTTTAAGTCTTGAATATTCAAAGTAATTTTTTTCTCAGCGAGAGTGTAATTCATGAAATTTTTGTTGATCTGGAAATGAAGGCGTAATTGATACTCAAATTAGTGCTGGTGTAGGTCGAAGGCCAGCCGTTATTCATGGGCTTCCAACGATTCACTGAATCATTCTCTTAATTAAGTTTTCATAATTCATCATACTCTCATAATTTTTATTATAGCCACAAATTTGAAATTTCTAAAGAATCATCATTGCTGTCAATAATAAAATAAACTTAAGCCAACTGACCATAAAATTTGAAATGCTTACTTAGAGCTAACTTGGAACCCGCGTGAAATTCCACAAAATAACCTTATAAATGACTCCAAAAAATGACCACAGAGCNCCATGGAGCAGTGAGTGATTAGCATGGAGAAAGATTCCTTAAAGAATATTTATCGCCAAACCATGGAGCAGTGAGTAATGTACAGGGAGAAAGATTCCATAAAGAAGATGATGAGCAACCATCTTGGCTAATATAACTATATAATATAACTATATAACCTGTCTCTTATACACATCTAGATGTGTATAAGAGACAGGAACAGAGCTAATTCTTGTCCTCAATTAATATCGGATTTATGCTCGCTATAATTTTTTTCACCATCA